CTTCTTTATTTTCTTTCTCCTTTGCCTTTCCTTACCCATTTCATTTCCACTAGAATGCATGCAAAAGAAGGTGGTGTTACAAACATGCTGGGTTAGAAAGCCACTGACTTTTTCTCTCTCTGTGGGGAAAACCCCAGTTCTTCATCTCCTGTGTGTCTCCTTTCCTTTCACACAGCTGACACCATTTCTGACACTTCACTTTGGTCACCAAATATGTGAGATCTGACACTATCTCTAACTGCACACAGTGTCAAATCCTACAGGTGACAGGCTCAGTCCTACGAGTCTTTCCCCCACTTCAGATGCCAATCTCAACCAGTACATCCCTAGGTTACCCCCAACTTCTGCTGATTTGGCTACAAATCAGAGGTTTCCATGACCTCCTCTTCTTTGGATTTGATTATTTGCTAGAGCGGCTCACATAACTCAGAGAAACACATTTACCAGATTATTAAGGGAGTTGTTAAAGGCAGGCAGCTAGATGTAGAGGTATATAGGGTGAGGCCTGGAAGGATCCTGAGTGCAGGAGCTGTACCTTTGGAGTTGGGGTTGCATCACCTTCCCAGTGTTCACCCCCTACTCCCCGAAACTCTCCAAACTTTCGAGATTTTTTTGGAGACTTTATTATATAGTTGTGGTTGGTCACTAACACCTTTTTTAGCCCTTTTTCCATCTCGAAAGAATTAGGGAATGGGGACTGAAAATTCCAGGCTTCTAATCATGGATTGGTCTTTCTGGTGACTAGTCCTCATCCAGGAGCCTACTCAGAATTGCCTCATTAGAATAAAAGATGTTCTGGGTCAAGCATGGGGCCACACATTAAACCTGATAAGCTCAGGGGAGGCCACATGGAGAACTCTACAAACTCAGAGACTGAAAGTAACCACATAGGATGGTGTCAACATAAAAATTCCTAACTAAAAGCAGGTCATGGGGTGTAGTCATATTTTAGGCCTGTAGCTTCCTTGACAAAGTTCAGTCTTTACCTTAAGTGAGTCTGTCTAACTGTCTTTTGCATCCAAGATAACAGACCTTTGAAACATCAGAGTAATCTTTTCCAGCCCCTTCAGGGCACGCCCACTGCTCCAGAACACAAGACCACAGAACCCCTCA